GTACTTTTAATATTATTCAAGTAATGTTTTCAACACAATGTAAATATTATATTATCAATACGATGGTTGTTGTTACTTTGATTACTATGATGCATGTGTTGTGATACTTAACATGAAGTCATCCACCTCCGGACGTTTCCGCCATTCCAGTTTGGGGGTGTGATACTTAACATGAAGTCATCCACCCCCGGACGTTTCTGCCGTTCGAGGACGAAGTCTAAGATAAGTGGGGGAGAATTGTAACACCCGGTCTCAGGTACGCATTTAAATTCGAGCCAAACTTCATATTTTACCCTTGGACTCGGCGAGTTGGAGGCCCAACTCGTCGAGTAGGATCGACTCCGGGTCGGGGGATTAAGTGACCTACTCGATGAGTCGGAAGACCGACTCGACGAGTAGGAGCTGTCTGAGTGAAACCCTAAATTGGAGGGTTTGCACCTTATTTAAACATCTTATGAGGCTTCCACCCCAGCCTCCATCACTTTCAAGCTTTGCCCTCGAAACCCTAATCCTCCATAAGTGAACTTGAGCTTTCTTGGTTATTTTGAGTGTTATTTGGTGTATCTTTAAGCTAGTGGAAGAAGTGGAAGATAGAAGACTCAAGAGGGAATGAGTAGATCCAGGAACTACACCCCATTTGCCATCTTTTCTGGTAATCAAGCTTCCAACTTGATCTTCTCTCTCTTAGATCTATTTGTCCCTATATTAAGAACGGTTTTGGCCCAAAAACCTTGGTCCTTGGTGTTGGGACGTCCCAAGTGGTTCATATCTCAGATCTAGGGTTTAGGGAGGGTTACATGGCATAAAGATGCAAACCTTAGGGCCATTGTAACCCCATGTATCTTGTAGACCTCATTTTAGGGTCTTTTGAGCTTAGGGACCCATGCATGGACGTAAAGTTCTTAACTTTACGTTCTGTATAGACTCTAGGAGGTCAGATCTACCTTGTGCATGAGATGAGCTCAACATAAATCGAGTTTATAGACATAGGCTTTAGGGGACTCGGCGAGTCGTTCTTGAGACTCGGCGAGTCGAGCATTGGTTCCCCAACCTTTTGCTTCGAAGGGATCTGGTTGAGTCTGGGAGGGGACTCAACAAGGATGCACGTGATTATAGGTCTAGAAATCTTGGGACTCGGCGAGTGTATGAACAGACTCGGCGAGTCCAAGGCAATCTCCCAACCCATGAGGACGGACTCGGCGAGTTGTTTATATAACTCGGCGAGTCACAGACTTGTCACACTCATATGATAAAGATGAACTCGACGAGTTCAAGGATGAACTCGGCGAGCCAGATGAAGATAGTCTCGATGTTATGTTTGAAGGAGAACTCGTCGAGTTCTTGCTAGACTCGACGAGTAGAGTCGGGGTTGGGAACTGATGAAAGAATAGGGACTCGACGAGTTGGTGAATCAACTCAGAGAGTCAGCTCAACTGGGTGTTGACTTTGACCAGCATGTTGACTTTAGCCAGGGGTAAAATGGTCATTTTACCCTAAGAGTAATTATCAGATTTTGACTAAGTACCTTTATGGAAATTTATAGTCGGAGAGTCATCGGAGCAGCAGACAGAGATTCCTCACCCACAGTTGCAGCAGTCAGTCACACGAGGTGAGTTTCCTTCCAGTAGGAACGGGTCTACGACCATAATGCCGGCCCGTTTAAGTTGTAGAGTATGCCGTGGCGAGCCTGATGTCGGGGTTAGCCCGATGCAGTTTATATGTTTCTGGACTTCGGTCCGATGCCGGGGCGGTCTCGAGAAGTAGCTAATTATGCTTGATGTCTTTGTGATTCATGCATGTGTATGTGTTATATGTTATGTGTTAAGTGTTCCGGGGTAAGCCCGATGCCAGGGCAAGCCCGATGTATGTTAGTCATTTATGCCATGTATTATGTATTCGGGGCAAGCCCGATGTATGCTAGCTATGTGTTATATGTTATTTGTTCTGGGCTTCGGTCCGATGTCGGGGCAAGCCCGATGCAGATTATGTGATTATGCTATGTATGTGCCGGGGTAAGCCCGATGCCCGATGAGGTCGGATGCCGGGGCGAGCCCGATGTCGGACAGTTGGGAGTAGTCCCAGAGTTATGTTATTTGTTATATGTGCTTTGTATGGTATGTGGTAGTTTGGGGGAGCTCACTTAGCTTCGTGCTTACAGTTTTCAGTTTTGATTTCAGGTTCTTCAGCTAGTAAAGGGAAGGGCTCGAGTTGATGGCATGGCACACACCACAGTTTTATTAGCATGGGAGCTTACTCTGATATTTTATGCGAGACAGTTATATGTTGATAGATTTTATGAGATTTTGAGATACGTGATTGATGATTTTATTTTATGGTGATAACATTATGTTTGCTAAACGATTTTAAAAACGAAATTTTTGGCTTTTATTTTTGGGATGTTTCATTTCTCACTATACTTACCTGAGTGGTAATACCGAGTGACCGAAGGGTCTTATTTGAGTTATCGACCGGAGGGTCCTATGTGTTTATATTGAGTATGTGATATTATGCATCTTGTCCTTGTGATATATGTTATATTATTATGTGCCTTACTGAGTATGACCGGAGGGTCCAAACCGAGTTGTGAGACCGGAGGGTCTTCACTGTGATACAGGACTGGAGGGTCCTACCCGAGCTGTGAGACTGGAGGGTCTTCACTGAGACACATGACCGGAGGGTCCACACCGAGCCGTGAGACCGGAGGGTCCTCACTGAGACACAGGACCGGAGGGTCCATGACGAGCTATATTCATGAGAGGCTTATTATTTGTATATGTGGTACTTTGGGGAACTCACTAAGCTTTGTGCTTACCATGTTGTGTGATATGTGTTTCAGGTACTTCTCAGGATCGTGGGATAGCGCCAGCTTGATTGTACACACGAGATGGAGTTATGAGTTTGAGGATCTTGGATTTTATTCAAACAATTATGAATATGTGTTTTCGATAATTTGATAACTGGGGGTTTTTTGTGAAATGTGTTAATGAGATTTATAGGATTTTAAAGTGAAAAAATTGTTTCAAAATTTACGGTGTTACATGAATAAAGTTGAAAATTTTATCCATCTAACATCATGTTGAGTCAGATATGAAGGTTGGAGACTTGGACTTAATGATGCATTCTTGGTCCCTTTGAGACTTAAAGACTGGATCTTGGTTGTTTTGACCATCCTAATGGATAAAGTTGTAAAATTTATCCATTATGAAGCTAACTAGATATGAGATTATAGGCCTTGGTCTGAAGAGGTTACAAACTTAATGAAGATTTTGACTTTTTGACCAGAAGTGACGATGTGACATAGGATGTGTCACGACTTGGCGGTGTCCAGAATCACGATTATTTTATCTTTGCATCCCCACGACGTGACCAAGGAATGGTTACGAAGTGACGTTGATTTTGACTAAGTTGACCGTTGACCTTGTGGACCTTTGACCATTGACTTTTGAACAGTTTGACCTTGGGTCACACTAGGAGGAAATTAGGTGTTAATTGAGGATTTATTTGTTTTTGGTGTTAGTTGGTTCGAGGGATTGACCAGTGCATGGAGTTAGAGCGTTGATGTGCTTCTCCGGTTATGCGAAGTGAGTTTCTCACTATACTCGTGGGTGGACGGAACCAAAGTCGGCCCACTAGCTGTGTTATGTATCCTTGTGTATAGGTTGTTGCTATGTTGTAGTGAATTGTTAGATTGGTAGATCTGTATAATTATGTATATTGTTGGTTATTGTTTATCTGCTGCATATTTTGATATAGTGCGGTTGGGTTGGTGCGGTGTGGGTTTGTGCTATAGTCTAACAAACCTGGGGCAATCCAGTTAGGAGACTATGGGTCAGGGCAATCCATTCGGGAGACTGTGGGCCAGGGGCAATCCATTCGGGAGACTATGAGTCTAGGGGCAATCCAGTTTTATATTGTGGGCCCGGTGAATGTATTGTTTATGTATTGTTGTGTGCGATATTTTGGAGGTACTCACTAAGCTTTGACTTACAGCTGTTGATTTCAATGTTTCAGGTACTTCTGATAATCAGGGCAAGGCGAATGTTTGAGCGTACACATCCTTCAATAGTTTTATGATTTCAGAGATTAATTTGATACTCTAATCTTCTTCGATATGATTTGAAAACAATGGTTGTTTATCTATGGATTTTTGTAGAAATGTTTTTTTTATAAAAATGAAAAAGATTATCATGGTTTTTGGGACGTTACAAAATATCTGAACTTTTTTAGAAAAAGTAACAGAAAATACAACAAAGAGATTTTGCAAATAGATTACTACTTTTTAGTTTTTTCAAGAAAGAGTCCCTTTTTTGTCTTATGACTACTAATTCTAAGAAAGCTACGAATATTTCACTCACCAACAAGGAGTTTCCTTTTACCATTGATTCTCAGTTAGGTTTCATTAAAAATTGAAATTAATATTCTAAATTATATTTGCATATTTTGAATCATATAGATTTTATAGCTTATTTTATAAAAATTATATACATAGATAACATCACTACAAGAAAAAAAGAATTGGCGGCCACAAAAATCACCGGTAAATGTTAGAAATGTCGTCAGTAATGGTAATAGCAGCGACACGTCGGTGGTAAAAAATCGTTGGTACTGCTCTGTCACTATTGCTCAAAATGTCGTTAAGATATTTGTTGTCGGTAATATACTTGATCGCCGCTAATAACTATGTCGCCGGTAATTCCTTCTGTCGTCGGTAATAACATTTTAATTTTTTTTGAAGTCAACACTTTTGGGTAAAAAAACCGATACGGAACAACATTAAATATAAAAATAGAATTACATAACGACATCCAATTAGGTAACAAATAGTATTATAATTTTGTATCAAAATAAACATTTCACATATTTAACTTTTATCGCTTAAATTGATTTATATTTATTTTATTATAAAATAAACATTTGTGAAAGATATTTAACTTTTATCGCTTAAATTGATTTATATTTATTATATTATAAATGGATTTTATTGTACTAGCCTTTTAGAACATGAAGAGGAGTATACTAGGCATGTGTAGATGCCACTATAAAATTGGAAATATCAAAAACCTTAGTATTTTCTTTCATCCTTCGAAATTCAAAATCAAGTCAAGTGATCTCCGGCAACGGAGGTGGTTTTCCGATATATAGAAAAGTATAAAGTAAGAATAGGTATTAAATGGGACGATCTCCCTGCTGCGATAAGGTAGGACTGAAGAAAGGACCATGGACTCCCGAAGAAGATCAGAAGCTTTTAGCTTACATCGAAGAACACGGCCATGGAAGTTGGCGTGCTTTGCCTTCGAAAGCTGGTTTCACTTCTTTTACTTTCTACTTATGTGAATACACATATTATCTTAATACCAAATTGATCATGAGAACAATCTTCTGTTACTTTATACTGCCTAAGAATACAAATTACTGATTCAAAAACACAAACTAAACAGGACTTCAAAGATGCGGCAAAAGTTGCAGGTTGCGATGGACCAATTATCTTAGACCTGATATCAAGAGAGGCAAATTTAATCTTCAAGAAGAACAAACGATCATCCAACTTCATGCTCTTTTGGGTAACAGGTATTTTTATCGTCAAACATGTTATCTCATTATGATTTGTTATACAATAATACAGATCTAATGTGCTTATGTTTATGATTAGGTGGTCAGCCATAGCAACTCATTTGCCAAAAAGAACAGATAACGAGATCAAGAACTACTGGAATACTCATCTCAAAAAGAGGTTGACGAAAATGGGGATAGATCCAGTGAGCCACAAGCCAAAAAACGATACCCTTTTGTGTACTGATGGTCAGTCGAAGAGTGTGGCTAACTTAAGCCACATGGCTCAATGGGAGAGTGCTCGGCTCGAGGCTGAAGCCAGATTAGTCAAACAATCTAAGCTTCGATGCCCAGTTGAGAAGCAAGTTGGATCAGTTGATGCATCCATGGCGTCTGTTAAATTATTGGCAACCACCGCTGGGGAACCCACAAGGTGTCTTGATATACTCAAGGCATGGGATAGAGTTTGGGGTGGCAAGCAGAATGACGACGGCGTTAATGGGAACGGAGATATGGAATCACCAACTTCGACACTTTCTACCACCGGCGTCGGAGAGAGTTCCACTAGCTTTTTCGAGTTTGTTGGTGGCAATTCATCGGGATCTTGCGATGATGGAGCCACCGGAGAGGATGGTGAAGAGGAGTGGGAGTACAAGGACGAAAACGACATGGAGAATTCAATTCCATTAACTTCTGGGTTCAGTGGAGTAACCATGGCGTCCGATAACAATAATGAGCACGTCCATGGTGGAAATTTCTTAGAGAGTTTTACAGATCTTTTATTGAGCAGTTCCGGCGGTAGTCATCGGAATTTACAAGGTGGTGGTGATTCCGGCAATGATCTCGAACCTAATGCAGTGAACAACAGTAATTACTACGAGGATAATAGTAAGAATTACTGGAATAATATTCTTAATTTGGTGAATTCTTCGATGCAAGATCCTCCTTTGTTTTAGAAGCCCATCTCTCACTCGATTTTTTGTTCATTTTTTTCGACCAAATGCTGTCCTTGAATGCTTGCATGTGTACGTTGTAAGAACATGTTGATTCCCAGGGTTAATGTCTAGGGTTTTTTGATTTTTTTGATTTCCGATAGAATTGTGTAATAATTCAAACTCCTACAACTTACTATTTAAAAGGCGTTTATGTTAGACATAATCTTGATAATCCAATGATCTATCGAAGGCCAGTTGTACGGCTCGAACTTCATGTTCTTTGTTATCTTATAATCGTATCAACCTTTTGGAAAAGAAAGCGAGACTTACTAATCTAGTCCAAAATGGTGTTCTATTTTGATTTTAATGCTTCTATTGTACTTGTACTTCTTTTTCCTATTCTTTCACATGCAATGCTTAATAACTAGTAGCATTAAAGTAGACTTGGTCAGGGAGAAAACACAAGGACCTTTGGATACAATTAATCAGCTGCTTAATACAATTTTCAGAATATAATTGGTAACTGTTTTAAAAGTCCAAAAACAATAATAATAAATAAATAAAGAAGAAGAAGAAGAAGAGAAGAAGAAGAAGAAACTAAGTATACACAACAACAATGCATTTATACTAGACCAGTAAGATTGTCATAATTTTATTTTGTTAATTATTAAGGTTGGGAACGTATGTACATTTTGTCATATTCATACTATGCATTTTTTTTCTTACATAACATTTTAAGTACTGGTTAATCTGTCACATGATATATAATATTACACTGTCACTGTTTTTTTTTATATTTAATTTTCTACTTCCTTTGAGAACACCATCAGAAAGAAAGTGTATTATCTCTATATCTATTAACGGGATTTAAGTATTATTGTTATTTTCTCCAATTAAATTATAGAAACCCATAAAAAAATAAATGATTGTTATATTTACGTTGCTATTATAACGATGTACAATGAAGAGAAAAAAAAAAGTACAAAAACATTATTAAATTATGTTTTAGAAACTTAGTTGTATCTTGTATGTATATATAATAGAGATTTCCTTATAAGATAATAAAATAGGACTGATGAAAACAAATAGTGAGAATTATTTAGAAGTGCATTTATATTTGGATGGGATAGAAGACATTTATTGCTGTTAGTTTCACGTCATAATCTAGATAATGAATAATAATGCGAACAAATATATCTGTTATATTTTTAAAAATTTAAAATTGTTATTTTTATTTATTAATTATCTAATTACTAGCTTTGATTATTAATTACCTTTTATAATAACGTGTATTTAAAAAAGTTCTTGAATACATAAATTTCATAATTTTTACCCTTTATATATATATATATATATATATATATATATATATGTATATATATATATATAACACAATTTTTAAATATATTGATTCGTCGAAATTCAAACAAGAATTTGAATAATTATTTAATTTTTTAATATTTTAATTTGTTGATATTCCCAATGTTCTTTTTTTTAACAACAAGATAATATTTCATCGAGATGAAAAAAATAGTAAAAAGCTAACATTACATAGCATCGACACATTCAGATATGAGGTTTAACCTCCAGTTCCTTCAATTCAAATCCATATATTTCCTATCTGTAATTTTAAGCCATTGAAATACCGTGAGTTTAATATTTCCAACCATATATTTCTTTTTTAGAACCGGCGGAATTATATAAAAAACCACTGTTTATTAAGAAACAAGGCAGGGCAGCGAAAAAAGTACAAAACAGTTAAAAAATGCTAAAGGGAGAGCAACACCACTCAGCCTAGTTACAAATACCAAAGTTTCCTCTATTTTTTACCCAACTAAACACCAAAGAAATAATGTTGTCCGCTAGTTTGGGGGCCGAGACCCTAGAAGAATTAAATAACTTATCATTCCTCGCTTTGCAAACACACCAAAGGAACCCGTAGAAGATGGAAATAACGAGTTTTTTCTTCTTAGGACATTTACCCGAATGAGCAGCAAAAGCCACCAAATCGACAACTGAAGTAAAGCCCTCAATAGGAATATCACACCAATTAAACACCCGCTCCAACACTTCCTTAGCAAAAGGGCAACCTACTAAGAAGGGGTTAGTCTCATCAGGACCACTGGAACAAAGATGACAATCCGGACCTGCAACAATGATGCCACGACGAGACAACGCTGAAGCCGAAGGAATCCTATCAAGGCAAGCACACCACACGAAGCAAGTAACTTTAAGGGGTACCAAATGAAGCCAAACAGTCGGATTTGGAGCAGCAATAGTGAACACATAATCTAATGCAGCGCGAAAATCATTGACGTGAAACAAACCATCCGAAGAAAGCTTGCATTTCCAACAATCTGCCCTACCATGAAGTTGGAAATTCACAAGAAGCCGTTGAAGGCAGCTTAACTCAGCAGATTCTAGGGGCCCAATAGGGAGCTTCTTCCAAGACCACATGAAACTGCAATTGGGACCGATCCTTTCATTAAAAAAACAGGACTTTCGTTTATCAAGGGCAAAGAGAAAGGGGAAACGGGTGGCAAGAGTCCCGTTACCCTCCCAGTTATCCAACCAGAAGAGAGAGTTAGCACCAGAGTTAATTTTAATCTCGAAGAAAGAAGATATGTAAATACCTCATCGGTTCAAAGAACAAAATGTCATCACAATGTTATACCAGGTCCCCGAAAGCGTTTTCTTACCCAGGAGATGAAGTGGTTTCCTAACACAATTATGCACCCCGCTCGCCACCTAACGCTAAAGAGCCGAAGACTCAGATTTGAACCTCCATAACCATTTAACCAGAAGGGCAATGTTTAATGAAAGGATAGATCCCACACCGAGCCCACCCCGGTCTTTAGGCGCAAGAACAGATTTCCAAGCGACCCAATTAATTTTGTTTTTTTCATCTGTCCCACCCCATAAAAAACGCCTCCTCAGTTTCTCCAAAATATCAATAACAGAAGTAGGGGCTTTGAACAGCGAGAGAAAATAAACCGGCAAACTACCAAGAACAAAGGTTCCATGTGAACGGCACTTGCACATGGGTTAGTCGACCATACCTTTCTTACCTCTAAAACTTATAAAGTGCATGTAGGGGTATCTCACGTTTCGCGACGGGTAGAAATGACTGTTTTATTGTAAATGCAATGTATTTAGAAGATACCTTGGTAAATGTATGAATTCCAGCATACTCTCATTTACTATTTGATTATAGTATCCTACTGCATGCTAATCACATTTCGTTTTTCATTATACCAATGACCACTACAAGAAAAGAGAGTATTAAGGTCGTCAAATTTAACGACGATAAGACCTTTAGCGATGATATCAGAGGAGACACGTCTAGTGTCGCCGCTAAAAGATCATGTCGTCGCTAAAGATATCCACCGGTGATTCGGAAAACACATGCTAGTATCAATCTTGACCCGACACTTGCAACATGATCCAACGGATAGGGTTAGGGTTCAACAGTGTAAGGTGAGTTCTCTTTCAGTAGGAACGGGTCTAAGTCACCAAGGCCGGCCCGTGTATGTGATATGTTAGTAGCTGAGTGTGGGCGGGGCCCGTATCTCATTATTATCTAAGTATAGATATTAGTCAGATTATTGGATCGCTATACTTGTTGTCTGTATGATACATGTATGTGTTGTTAGGAATGTGAGTGTGGGCGGGGCCCGTATCTTATAGAGTGTAGGCGGGGCCCGTATCTCATAGTAGCTGAGTGTGGGCGGGGCCCGTATCTCATAATAGTTGAGTGTGGGCGGGGCCCGTATCTCATAGATAGCTAATATTGTACAGATTTATATGCTTAGTGATACTTGTTGTTTGTGTAGTACTTGTATGTATTATTATGACTGGCTGAGTGTGGGCGGTGCCCGTATCTCCTAGTCAGCGGAGTGTGGGCGGGGCCCGTATCTCCTAGTCAGCGGAGTGTGGGCGGGGCCCGTATCTCCTAGTTAGTGGAGTGTGGGCGGGGCCCATATCTCCTAGTTAGGGGAGTGTGGGCGGGGCCTGTATCTCCATAAGTGTGGGCGGGGCACGTATCTCTCAATAGCATGATTATGTGTATGGTATGTGGTAGTTTGGGGAGACTCACTAAGCTTCATGCTTACGGTTTTCAGTTTTGGTTTCAGCTACTCAATTTTTAAAAAGAGGAGCTCGGGAAGATTGCAGTGCACACACCATTTGTTTAGCTTGGGATGTTTATACTCTGATTTATTTTGACATGTGACTTGATACATGACTTATGATTTTATATTTGACTAATGGTTTAAAATGAAAATTTTGGACTGTATTTTTGGGATGTTACAAGTTGGTATCAGAGCCTTGGTTTGAGGGATTCGGTCAGACTCCCGGGTGTGTCTGAACTCAAACTAAGGACTTGGTATGAAGATTTTCAAAAGTAAAATCATTTTATAAAAAGAAGTTTGAAAAGAATTTGAAAGATAAAAGAACTTTCAAAAGAACAAGGTGTATGATGCGTGCAATCAGTCGAGCTCAAGTAAGTTTTCCCCAAGATACCTATTCATGGTATGTTATGATATGATATGGTTATGAGAACTGCATGCAAGATTAGGGCTGAGGATCTAGGAGGATGCCTTATATGCCTATTGTATGTGCTTGTAGACTTGCATGCTAGTACTGATCAGTCAGTGATAGGATAGCCTGTTTAGGTTATGCCTGATTGTATGAGCCTTTGAATTGCATGTACATATTCCTGATTAGAGGATAGAACAGTTTGATTGGATTATGATGGTTAGATTTTCCATTGTCTGAATGTTGTTTGCTTTGTGCTTTGTGGGACTCTTTGTGATGTGAGTTAGCTATTAAGTGAATATGCTAAGTCACATGTGACACAGACTGGATAATCTCAGAGTGATAGATTTGACCCTATTGCGCAGCTCTTGTTTGAGTCCAACCGTTCTAGGGATGTGTCTTTTAGTCGAAGGATTATCTTATCTATGTTGCATGTGGCTATATTCATGAGGTAGCTAGTTGGAATTACTGGGACTGAGGACTGGGTGAGTTCGGGAACCTAGGAAAGCCTAGGATATGCTTCAGTGGGTTAGTAGTGAGGTTCAGTGAGACTTGGGTGTACCAGTTTGAGGAAGTGACTTCGAGGATTCGGGAGGATTGCTAAGGAAAGTATGGATAAGTGTGGAAGGTAGTATTGGGCCCGTACTAGTGAAAGCACAGGATCCATACTCGAATCGGTGAGAGTCTTGGAGAATCTGAGAAGCTTCAGGGAAGAGTTTGTGACCCAGTTTGGGGACAGAGGATGTTCCATTTGTTGCAGC